CACGAAGTGAAATTGGCTGAAGAATCAGGCTACAACATTATAACATAGATCAGACAATAGCATAATATAGGTGCTAAAAAACGACATAAAACTACAGTTTTATAGAAAATTGCATTCTTTTGTAAGAAGGATGGATATTTTATGTATATTGTGATTTTAAAATCTGTTTCAAGCCTTTTGCTGAGTAACAAACTCGAGTTTCATATTTAGTATCCTGTCACTACAGTTGCACAGTAAAATTATAAACTTGTGACTAATGGGCTGCACTAAACCAACAGAATGTGAATAACAAATAACTAGTACACAACATCATAACAGAAATTACACCAGACAACATGATCACATTTGTCTCCACACCTAGATATGAAAAGCATCTATTTAAGGAAGTTCACAACTCCAAAAACAATCATGAAAAAGAGCTAGGTCAGATGCCAGCTCCCTTTAGCAGCTCGAAGCCTGAACCTAACACAGCCTGACGGTTTCCTGCTGACAGTAAGGGCCACTAACCTTTGCACTGCATTAAACAACAGGAAAAACTCTGGCAGACTGAATGGACGGATTAATCCAGATTGAGGTTAAGTTTATTTTCATTCAAAACATGTTGCAATCTCAACCTCAATACATATTATCAGTGGGCTTATCTTTGCCACTCGGAAAAGTAAAGTGTGAATAAATCATTGTTATACTTTAGCAAGAGCGCCATGTGGTTGCCAAGGGTAAATATTATGCTAACAAAGACCATGTTTTCATCACTAGCCTACCACCAGATTCAACAAAACACACACGCCATTTTAAACAAAACTGTAATTTTGGGGCTCTTTGACCATATACCTTAGTGGTATTACCCAGTCTTTGTAACAAGTCATGCTCTGGAGGTTTAGGTCATGTGATGTTTTTGAGATTCATACTTCCTCTTTTACGTGTTTAAATAATAAGACAGACTGTCAATTAAAATGTGTTTTGAAAAACCCTTGTGTCATCCCACATTATTGTTTGGAACCCGCTACTGAGCAAAACCAGACAAACCAGGATTGGCATAAAGTAAAACAATAACTACTATGTGAAATGAAGATGAACAAACAAAACAAAACAATAAATCGAAACTGAAAAACGCACCATCTTACTGACGATGCAAGATTGTTACAGAAACCAGTAATCACAGTATAATAATGTAAGGCATAATAATAATAAAAAAAATAATAAGTACAAGAATTTTAGTTGGAAAAAATATGTAATCCCAATGGAATCTGTACTCCAAACATATTACACCAAAATGTTAAGTGCTTTTTATCTGGCTGTTTATTAGTGATTAACATTACTTTTTCATGCAGAAAGCTTTATACTAGAAGAAAGTTGATTTATTAGTGATTGTGAATGAAAGTAAACATGGATTTTGTTGTTGTTTATCCATGGGGTTGATTGTGAATAATCATAAAAATCATGATTCATTAAAAACGTATGATAACATACATTTTGTTCAATAAATGTATGTCAAATTTTTGGCTTCACCTCTTGCACGACACATTTTGCCCTAATTTTTTCTGTGTTCAGACTGCTTCGAGCTATACAAACTGCCACACTGTAGTACATTAAGTGAAAAACACACATGCACGAGGGTTGCCTGAGAAGACACTAAATAACGTGATAGGCTTAAACACAACATCATTCAAGAGTTCTGTGCATGACGGTTTCTACAAGAGATAAGAGAGGCTATTCACAGCAATGATGCAACAGCTAACAACACAAATAGAAAAACACTTGTGCTCAACAGATACAAATAAAGACTGTTAGGAGTCAAAAACATTGGATTTTCTCAGAAGTAAATTTTGCAAAGTCAAGACCAGGAACAGTAGTTCATCTGTGGAATGCATTGTTAAAGGTGTGTTATTGCTTTGCCTGGAATGTTCCATGGTATGACATTTAACTTATCCATCCTAGTCCTTATTCATTACTGATATCTCTTTTGCACAAAAAGACATAATACCTTCTGTGAATAGAGGCAACTCTCCACAGATCTGAATTGTAATGTGGCATAATGCTGTTGCCTGCTTGTCTCCTTCATGATAGGCAGGTTTAATCTACACTGTGGAACATTCTAGACAAATTAATAACATTTCCATGGAGACAAGCAGGTGGCGGACCCTCCACTAGGAAAGTAACCAGAGATGGGACCAAGTCGTTGTTTTGCAGGTCTCAAGTAAGTCTCAAGTCTTTGACTTCAAGCCTGAATCAAGTCCCTAGTCAAATACAGGCAAGTCCAAGTCGAATCTCGCGTCACTGGCCCATAAGTCCAAGTCAAGTCAAAGTTGTCTGCTTTGAGCTTCAAGTCATTTCAAGTCTTTAAACCAAAGTACCAAATATAATTTTGTTTTTTGCTATTTATATAAATTTTAAACTAAATTGTACTTTTAAAAATCATGGCATATTTATACATGAGTATTTATATAAAAGTTGTAGAAATGCAATTTTTTCCTTTTTAAATGTCTTGACAAAAATCTAAGTGTGAATCATTACGGTCCATTTTATCAAGACAAGTCTTAAGTCCTAAAAATAGTGGCTCAAGTCTGACTCGAGTCCAAGTCACGACTTGTAAATCCCCACCTCTGAATGTTACATACAGTAGTGCATCTTTAAATGTCCCAAGAGAGCGACCAACACAGCATGGTCATATCACCTTAAAATTTTTTGGCTGTAACAAAGGACAGAGAAGGGGGATTTTGTTTTGCATAGCCTGGAGCAGCTCCCACAGAGACTTTCAAGCTTCTCCAGCCCATGAAGAAACCACTAAACAAACATATACATTGCACCATTCTCCACCAGTGTTGGCTCATGTCCCAGAATCCAACAACAGAGTAAGAACATGCCAAGTTCAATATGAGCCTGGGAACAGTATGGAGACAATGTCCAAGGGGCTACAGGTCAAGGGATGCGATGGTGAGTTCATGTTTCACCTTTTTGACTATTGGAAAACTGCTCACGGTTCTGTCCATCATCTGCCTCTAGGGATGTTACAAAACTAAAATAACCAAAATATCGTGATATTGTATTGACAAATGTCTCACAATAATATCGCGGGCCATCACAAATTATCAAATTGCAAGTCTATTTGCTTAAATTAATAGTTACAGTGCTGAAATATAGTTAAAAAACAGAGAGAACTACATAGACTGTGATCCTTTGCTCAGTTTCAGTGCTGATTACATGAAGAAATAACTGTTATAAGCGCTTTAAAACCTTAGTTCTTTG